GACAATTATTTTAAGCCTGTAATCCCACTTAGGAGGATTTGGGAATCAGGGTTATCCTTGAGACCCTGCCTGGGACATGAAAACAAAACTAATGGCTGGGCTGGGAATATAGCAACGACAAAATGCTTGCCTAACAAGTCTAAGGTCCTGACGGGATCCCAGCACTCATGTATGCATTCTTAAACTGATGAGGCAACCTTGACTGGACCTGTCTGCAAAGTGATCCTAAATCCTCTACGGCCAACTCCGTATTAAAGGGTGTGTGTTCTAATCAGTGCTTTGTATTTCATGCTCTCCGGGATTTACTCTTAAAGCTGTCTAGACCTAATATATGGCAAACTTTCTCCCTTAATTTTTTCTGTTGCTTGTTCCCAGATGGTCAGGACGTAATAACCGAGAGAAGATTGGTGTTCATGTTGTCTTTGAGGAAACCTTGAACATGGAGCCCTATTGCTGCAGGGAGACCCTGAAAGCTCTCAGACCAGAATGCTTTATCTACAATCTTTCTGCTGTAGTAATCCACCATGGGAAAGGATTTGGCTCAGGCCACTACACTGCCTACTGCTACAATTCTGAAGGAGGTACAGCCAAGAAAAACCATTATTTCTAGGGTTAGAACTGGGAACTTGTATTTAGGTTGCTAGCAGTTTCTACGTTGACCACTGAGTCACCTGACCATTTACCTTCTTTCTCGACTTCTTTCTGTATTTGTAATGGACACCAAGCTGGCCTTGCACTCAAGAGATGTACCTGTGTCTGCTTCCCCTGAGTAATGGGATTAAAGACACATGTCATACACAAGGCATCATCTTTTTTTTTTGGTTTTGAGACAAGGTTTCTTATCTGTAGACCAGCCTGGCCTCACACTCAAGAGATACCCCAGCCTACCTCCCAAGTGCTGGATTAAAGGTGTGCGTCACCAGGCCCAGCACCGGTCAGTTTTTCTTAAACTGTTCGGTGGTTCGGTAAAGAACAAGGTATCTAATGACCTGGGAGATCACAGATACTTGCTCAGTGTTAGCATACAAAATCCTTTCCACTGTGTTCTCCGTGTCCCTTCCAGAGCAGCTGGGTCCTGGCAGAGTGGCTGAACCACTGAAAAGTAAACGTGTGCACACACACCCTAGCAATGCAGACAACAAAAAGCCTATCTGTTCTACAAATCAAGTATATACTAGTTATACTAGGAGTATAACTGTAGCTTTGTAGTAAGTAACTGAAGGAATGTAAGATGTCAGATACAGATTCTGTAACTTCAAACTAATAAAACAGGTTATTCCATAAAAGAATTCTAGAATAACTCTTTCCCATTGCAAAGAAAATGAACCAGCCTTTATCTTTCCCTCGGAAACTCTCCATTTCCAATTAAAGAGACTTATTTTGTAGTAGAAACTTGTGAAATTCCTTTACAAACATCCAATTTCTTTGCTTCACTCTAGGGTTCTGGGTACACTGCAATGATTCCAAGCTAAGCATGTGCACTATGGATGAAGTACGCAAGGCCCAAGCTTATATCTTATTTTACACTCAGCGAGTTACTGAGAATGGACATTCTAAACTCCTGCCTCCCGAGCTCTTGTCCAATAGCCAACATCCCAGTGAAGAAATGGATGCCTCTTCTAATGAAGTCCTTAGCTGATCCACAGTGGGCTCTTGTTATTTGTATATATACTTTTTAAATGGGCTGACTTACAATGTGAGCTTCATTGTTTTTATTTTTTAATTATGATCAGTGCATGCTACGTTTAGACATTTTGTATTTAACTACAAAGGTTTTGTTTTTTTTTTTTTTTACAAACTATAAATATATATCAACTGTAGGCCAGCTAAACATTTTTTCAATTATTTGAGTTTTATACTTTTAGTGTTTACCTCAGGCTATTATTACCTCTTATATTTTGATGTCTTAATTGCCTCAAATCATGAACTTGTGCAATCTACTAAAGGAATTCAGGTGGCATTTTTATATATATTATTATTTAATCTTTTGTAGCTGTTTTCTACATGGATTCTAAATAGAGGGGAAGGATATGTTTTTCATAAATAGTCTTACTACAATAAGAAAGCCATTGGTATACTGACTCCAGTTCTGCCCCCTTGAAGGTAAACAAAGATTGGTATTGATGGTTATATTCCCGAGGCTACATGCCAAAGCACAAAGCTCAGATAGATTTAATGCAGTTACTGGTCTTTCACTACACAATTTATTGCTTCCATAATTGTTCTTTATTGAGCACAAACTCATAATGAAAAAGCTGATTTACAAACAGTGTATTTAAATGAACTTTGGAACTATGGGCAATGAGAAAAACAGTTCTAATAAAGCAGTCATAAAAATTTGAATTTATCTAACCAATATATTATGATATTATACCAATATAATTTCTCTTGAGAATGAGTTCATTTTATGTTAAATTACACTAGATCTCTTAAATGCTTGAGGTTCTTAGTTTCAAAGGAATAAAAAGTCTTAAAGAGGGGTAAGAAGAGAACTGTTCAAGACCAGCAACTAGGTTCTTTTTTTCCCCCTAAGTAACCTAAGCCTTAATCTTTTATTCTTGCTAGGATTATGTGACTACTGGGATCCTCTTAGGGTCAGCACTACCTCTTTAAAAACACTATCTAAACTGAATTTTATTGAAAGCATGACACTTTTGCTGTGTTCTAAAGAAAGCCCTAGTGCTGCTAGCTTTACTTATTCAGAAGAGGTGGGAGATCCCCGTGCTAAAGCTACAGATCGGTATGTAAGATCTCAAGCTCCCTGTTAGCCACTGAGTGCCTCTGTCCCTTTTCTGCTAAAGTTGATTTACAGCTTACCAGAAAGAGGTATCTTTAGCAGATTCCAGAGAGCAGTGTCACCTGACAATAAACTGCAACAAAAATGTATGAACAGACAAATCATTTGTTCCAAAAATACAGCTCTGTTCATTTGCCAACACCTATGCAAACTGTCATCTAAACTGTTAAATATACCTCATTAAAGATGTATATGGTAAAGGTACCAAGTCTAGCCTTTAATTTTGAGGAACTTTTTTCTTTTCTTCTTTCTTTCTTTTGTGGTTTGTTTTTGAGATAGGGTTTCTCTGTGTAGTCCTGGCTGTCCTGGAACTAGCTTCTGTAGACCAGGTTGGCCTGAACTTCCCGCCTCTGCCTGGAATGCTGGGATTAAAGGAGGACTGTTTCTTCTATCAACACATTGTAGCACATAATTTTTAGGGGTACAAACCATGAAGCTATGCTGTCTGTCACCGTCACCTACAAAGTGACCAGAACAAAAGTGACCTAGGCTTTAGTATGTGTTATGGGTGGCACATGGCAGTGCTGTAGTACTTTCCTACTACATTTTGTTGTGAATCTAAAACTGCTTCAAAAAAAAGAAAAAGGAAAAAAGCATCTTGGAAAAAAAAAACCCAAATGATAAACAGAATCTTAGGTTTCTTATTAAATACCTCATCAGATCTCAACATGGACATCTACATTCTAAGTTGTTCTAACGAAAACCTAACAGTTTGAGTTGTAATAATTTACTAAAGGCACTACTGTTAACATCAAACTAAGACTTGTTGCCAATAAGAGATAAATGGTCACTAAATGTAACAATGATTTTGAGGGATCAACAGCTGGGGAAGCAAACAATGCGTTTTTCTGTGTGCCATCTTTCCTTTCAACCTGTGGGTTGCCTAAGAGCATCCAAAAACAGATTATTTACGTTACGATTCATAACAGAACTAAGATTACAGTTATGAAGTAACAGTGAAAATAATGTTATGCTTGGGGGAACTGTATTAAAGGGTTGCAGCATCAGGGAGGTTGAGAACCACTGCTCTATAAGGACATACTCCTTCCCACCATTTTGGAGAAGTTGATGCTTCCAACAGCTTTCTGAGATAAGTCTGAGCCAAACAAAGAAGACTGTGATGAAAAAGACCTTGGGAAACCCTAAAGCTCTTCCTTGAGGGTCAGTTTTGAAAATCCTAGGCTTAAGCTATCAAGCTGTTCAGATGACAGGAACATGAATCCAGACCCACAGGAGCTGATGGGAAGCATCTTACATGGTATGTAAAAAAACATATTGTAATCGATAGTGGCAATGCAAGCAACAGCTTATAGTTAAAAACTAGACTGTTCCCCCACAAAGAAAAGCAAGATTCACTTACAGTTGGAATGTAGGAAGAGGCAGTATACCATCTAGGTCCATAAGTAGTTCCTCCTCTTCAGAGAGCATGTCAAGCAAAATTAAAGCTACATACCATCATTGTGCTAAGGCATACACAAATTAAGGCTTTAATCTGGGCAAGTAACAATTTAAAAACTATGATGGGATGTTTCTAGCAAACCACATATAAAAATCTAAGTGGTTAAATAATTGGGCCCATTCCAAACAAGCTAAGTATTGTATCCTTACATTCCAAATAACACCCCTGACTTTATGACAGATAAAAGAAACTAATTTCAGGGGAGGGTTTCTCTATGTAGCCCTGGCTGTTCTGGAACTTAGCTCTGTAGACCAGGCCTCTGCCTCCCTAGTGCTGGGATAAAGGTGTGTGCCACCACTGCCCAGCTAAAGTAATTTGTGACATTAAGGTCCTTAACATGTTAAGGACCAGGAATGTTGAGTATCAGGCCCAATTTCAAGTTAACATTTCTAACTAGAACAAGATCCAAATCTCATTTGCTTGTGGCTTTAATGTTTTTGTTTTCTAGTATGTGACTACATGACCACTGGGTTAAGGGACTTTTATTACATCAAGGTTTTTCAAGTTGGCACAATGTTTTCCCATAACAAGAAAAAAGACTAATGTTAAATATGCTTCTACAAAAAAAGTAAAACATTCTTAAAGAGGTGTGCTAATTTTTGCCCACTTCATACACATGAAGATCTTGTGGCCACCTCTCCTGAAGAAAGTCTAGTTCAGGTAACTCTAGAGTCCAGATAAAGAACATTATACTTTAGCTACTCTCTGCTTAGAATTACAACCACAGACATGAAGATGTAGCTCTCCGATCTGAAAATGTCTTTATTTAGAAAATGGACTCCAAGGAAGGTTAAAAAGCAACACCAGAGGGCGCAGGTGCAGAACTGGATGTGGTCATTCAGAGCATTCAAGGAAGAACATGGCAATATAAATATCCAAAAGCATGTCTTAGGTCTTCAGAACAAAACGTGTAAGGAATTCCTAACTAGTCAATGGTGCAGCAGTTTCTAGACGGGAGAGACAGTTAACATTAAAGTCCTGAAAGCCTTTTCCTTGGTTAATTACATGGAGACAGTTTGCCTTTGAAAACTCCTTGAAACATGGATAAAGATATTACACAGGTCCACTGTTAAAACAGACAACATGTTGCAAATTACTTGTGGTATAACGTATTCCAACAAAGCTTAGAAAATAAAGACGTGGAGCTGGCTTTGGACTAGTTTAATAGTCATCTCCTCTGCTGACGACTTCTTTACAAGTTGGACGCAGCAGTATGGTATGTTCAAACTGTGCCGTGTATGACCCTTTGATGTCACACAGTGGTGGGTATGGATCTACTATGCCCAAGTCACACAGATTCTTCAGAGCCATTAGGTATTTACTTTCTCCCAAGCGATCCAGCCATCTGCGGCAGAAGGCAAGGGTGCCAAAGTTTTCATTGATGACATTTAGCAAGTGTTTTGTTCTTGGAAGCCTAAGAGGAAGAAAGTTAAGATTAATATCTGGCAAAGGGGTAACTAACCAATTCCCCCTATTATAAAAGTCAAATCTTAGCTGTGTCTGCAACTGAAACACCGTTCTTTTACTGATAATAACTGAAATATGCAATGGCCAAAAGACAGACAGCTGAGTATGAACCTGAAGATAACATGAAGTGTGCTAAATTCTTAGATGAGTATTATAGACGTTCCTTTTACATAACAAGCGCAAAGACTGTCACCATGAAAGCCTGAATCCAACCTATGACTGTCAAACGTTAACCTGGAAGAATGCTCATTAGTTATAAAACCAAGTCTCTCACCTTATTGGCACATGTCCCACATCAAAGTTTTTCATGTAGTGTGAACATTCCATGTCATCATGAACGACACCCTTTCCTGTGCTACCAAAGGTTTCAATGGCATACACCTCTCCTTCCTTCAAAAAAAAAAAAAAAGACACAAGGATCATAGGGAGAAAACAGTTCAGAACTAATCAACTTCCCATGAAATGAAGTAGTAACATGAAACATGCTTCTCAAATTCTTCTCAGCCTGGCTGGCCGTCTGATCACAACACGGTCACTGCTGTACCCAGTGCTCCCTCAGACAGCAGCCCTTATTGAACACTGAGTACAGCCCCAGTCTTCAAAAGCACTGCATAGTTTCTCCCAGGGTCATTTTTGTTCAGTATTTAGATATGAGTCTTATTTTAGAAAAAAGTGCAATGGCTTTTCACAGAAGTCTAAGTGTTGGGGGGGGGGGGGGGCGCAACCGTGATAGTTTATAGTCCTAGCATACCCAATGTCCTTGTTAGCAAGGGTGACTCACATACCTCCATTCTTGTAGCCTCCCCTCCTTTCACAATGGGCACTGTTTTTCCAGCGTGGATTCTATAAGGCCCAATCGAGTGTCCATTTAGATTACGGATGGGTTTCACTGTCATAAGAAAGAAATGAATTTTCTTTAGGATCTTTTGGTAGAGAGTTCAAAGTTTAAGCATTTACATCAAAAAAGATACTGAGCCAGAGTGGTGGTACACACTTTTAAATCCCACCACTTGGGAGGCAGAGGCAGGTAGCTCTCTTGAGTTCAAAGGTAGCCTAGTCTACACCTAGTGAGTTCTAGGCCAGCCAGGACTACACAGTGAGTCCCTGTTCTCAAAACAAGCAAACAAACAAAACCCAAGGCTCTCACAGAGATAAAGTAAAAAGCAGTTTGTTTTATTAAGTGTCAAAGAGAGGGCTCAAAAGCAATCAGCTGTTAGAGCACACACTACTCTTGAAGAGGACCAGAGTTACTTCCCAGCACCCATGTCAGGTGGCTCACAACCACCTCAACTTCCAGCTTCTGGCCTCCATGTCACCTATACTCGTCTGCACAAACCCAGTCCCACATGCACACCACTGAGAAAGTGCCAAAGAGAATGCTGAGGGGAGAATGGAAGAAATAAATTATAGGTGACACCATATTTAGAATAAGATCCTTAAGAGGGGTGTGTGTGTGAGTGTGAGTGCGCGTGCATGCCTATAGAAAAAGAAATGATATGAAGGTGAGGACACTGTTAAATGAATCCTAAAGACATGGAATGATTAAAGACACTAGAGGCATACTATATACCTCCATGTGTACACGGGCTCAAATCTGAAGTGTAACTGCTACTTAGGCACGTATAGTTAGTAGAGACAAAGAAATGCCAAACATCAGGATTTACGACTGCTGCAACTGGAAAGGTGCAGCTGGCTACTAGCTTTTGCATGTCTTCTCAAGTTCCCATCTGAAACAACCCCCAGCACAGTGTTGAGAGGTGTAACATAGTGACAATTATTTGACAGGTTCTATTAGGAGCTTTGAGGCCTCTCAAGGGGCATGGTTACACTCTCACCTGACAAGATGATTTTCACACTATGTGCATTTCAATTATGTTCCACAATTTCAGAAAATTAGCCCTGTGGTTTCTGAAGCATTGGCAAGAAGTCACCTTTCTCAAGAGCAGATGATGCCTTAGTGGGAGGTGAGATGGTATGTGTGCATTGTCATTAGTGTAAACAAAGAAGTAGAGAGAAGGTAAAGTCAAGGCCGAAGAAAGATACCCCAGTGAACGACCAGAAGAGGGAAACATGGACCCCTACCTAGATTGTTGGAACAGAAGTCACCATTGAGAATTAGATGAGAAAGATGCCGCCATTTCTGCAACCCAAGCCCTAGTTACATCTCTGTAGTGGAAAGTTGGTAACAAGCCCTACCTACAACCAACGGAGGGACCTTCAGGAAACTATTCCAAACCAGCATTTGTTAGGAAGGCTCACAAGAATGACACCCAGAAATTATGGAAGTGGAGGACCAGGTTGCTTAGAGCAAGGTCAAGACCAAACATGGACCTGGGATAACTCCTATGACTATGACCACCCAGGGAATATCACCAGGCACAGGCAAGAGATGAGAAGCTAGGGACACCGTGGCAGCTCTGCCCTCTCAGAAGCCTGCAGGAACACCACGTTGAAGACAGTAAGGGAGAATGTTAGGTATGCAGTGGGAACGCAGACCGAAGCCCAAGTTCAAAGTGGTGTTGATCATCTGCACACTTCCCCAGAGTTCACCTCTGTCCAATGCCTGGGTTTAGAAAGATGGTGCAAGGGGTTCTTCAGCTGTGACCATCTTCCTAAAGACATGGGGTAACTAATGTAGACCCTGAAGATAACAAGAGCCAGGAAGAGACTGGCTGGCTGAGGCCTCAGAGGCACAGTCTTGCCAGTAGACAGACTGGTGGGGAACAGAACATAGCTGGGTACTTTGAAAGCTGAATGAGAAACCTGGAAAACATGGGTGTGGTGAACTCTACAAGTTCTCCATGAAGGAACTTTTTCTACTTTTAGGTCTTTTTTTTTTTCTTTTTTTTTTTTTTTTCCCCTAAAGTCATGGCTTCTCTATGTAGCTCTGGCTGTCCTGGATCTCCTCTGTAGACCAGGTTGACCTCAAATTCAGAGATCCACCCTGCTCTGCCTCCTGAGTGCTGGGACTAAAGGTGTGTGCCACCACCGCCGGGAATTACTTGTATGTCTCTGAGTAACAACCCTATCCTGATGATGTTATACCCAAATATTCCTTTTTAAGCTCTTTTTGAAAGACAAAAATATGACCCACAGTGTTTTAAAATAATAGCTTTCTGTTTTGATAGGAGTGTTCAGAAATAGATTTCATTTGAAAATATCCTGTAGATCAGTTGTGATCCACAGTAGGACTGTGGGATAGATCCAACAGCAACCCACAGAGCAAAGGAAACCCCCTACTTGACAGCATTTAGATGTGAAGAGTCTCTGTAACAAAGGCAGTAATGGCCAGCTCGAAGCTAATCCTCTGTCCCTCCCTACCATGGACTGCTACTTGCTAGGTGTTTAGCTTCTTGGTGAAGGTACCAGAGAGCATGTAATGTCGGAGTGCTGGTTGCCTTAGCCCTGCAAAGGGAGAGAAGCTGTAGCTGGTATAGCTAATCTCTTCTGTGTGCTATGTCTATGATCTTGTAACAAGTAGAGAGTTTCATAATACTAGGTTTAATGGGAGAAGAAAGACGTTCTTTACTTAAAATTGTTTAATTTCAGGTTATAGTTTAAGATTTGGTGACTTCTGGCGTAAAGGTGTACATGCAGATAGAGCACTCATACATAAATCTTTAAAAAAAAAGATTTATTTATTATGTATACAGTGTTCTGCCTGCATGTTTGCCTAAATGTCAGAAGATCACATCAGATCTCATTATAGATGGTTGTGAGTCACCAGGTGGTTTCTGGGAATTGAACTCAGGTCCTTTGACCTGAGTTCTTAACCTCTGAGTCCTCTCTCCAGTCCCTAAATGTTCACTATTTACTTGGATAAGTAAAATAATATAAAGATAAAAGAATGTTCAAAATCTCTCAATTTTACTGTTTTTATTTACCATTTTTATTCTTTTGAGCATTTCAGACATGCATTTTTTTTTTTCAAATTTACTCTCTAGTCTTCCCTTTAATTCCTCTGATGCCCTTTCCCCCAATTTCCTGCTTTTAGAACAGCATCAAAGAGAGAAAGGAGGACCGTGGCTAGGTGGCTGGACAGACCTGGAGTTGAGGACGGATTGTGATGAGTGCGGGAGCAACAGAACACGAGTGATTGGCTCAATGACAACCTAAAGTAGCAGCTACAGGAGACTGTGAGAATCACCAATGCACGGGACTCCGGTTTCTCTCTCATTCTTTTTTTTTTTTTTTTTTTTTTTTTTTTTTGGTTTTTCGAGGCTGTCCTGGAACTCGCTTGGTAGTCCAGGCTGGTCTCGAACTTACAGAGATCCGCCTGCCTCTGCCTCCCGAGTGCTGGGATTAAAGGCGTGCGCCACCAACGCCCGGCTTCTTGACCCCAAAAACCCAGGTCAAATTAGGACGCCATAGGATAAATTTCCCCGACATCTTCTTAGCTACTCATTAGCTCAGAAAGTTCCCAGAGAGCTTCCACAGTGCATCTTCTGCACACTCAACGTCTGACCCAAAGACTCAGTTTAAAGGACCATACCTTGGTAAGTCTTCCCATCTATTTCTACTTCATAGGATTCCATAACTTCTTGAATGGCTTCACCAACATCACAAAGACGAACATCAATCCCAGCACACTAAAAATAATGCACATTTTACTTTTTAAGTGCAAACTTCTACAATGGTTTTATATTTTCCAACCAGAAAAACTAATTTGTATATTAAAAATAATTATATAAGACCTTGTGAAAGATGTTAAAATAATACCACACACAAGATTAGACCCGATACTTTTGCCTGTAAGATTAATCATACAGTTTACTTGGAGAAATGTAAGGGATATAATGAATGGCAATGGGGTGGTGGCAGGTGGAGAGATGGGTCAGAGTACTTGTTCCTATTACAGAGGAAATCTTGTTTGGTAAGCAGAACCCACATGCCAGCTCAACTATAACTCCAGTTACAGGTCAATTGATCTAACTTTACCAATCACAATGGCAGAACATGCCCATAGTTCCATATATTCAAAAGATGGAAGTTCTCAAGAAAGAAAGCCTGAGCCCAAGTTAGAGGCAGCCAAGGCAACACAGTGTATGTGTGTCTCTGTCTCTCCCTCCCTCCCTCTCTCTCATGCATGCACTCATGCGCGCACACACACATACAATTTATTCCTGGGATGTAAGGGCAGTTCAATAATTCATCAATATAAACATACTTTATGAGGTTAACACACATCATTTCAATTGGATTTACATTTAGAATATACTCAATATAAAGACTCAAAGTAAGAATAGAAAAAAATACCCTCAAAATAACAAAAGCTACAGGAGAAACCTACAGAAAATATGGCTGCTGAAAGCATTTCCTCTAAGGTCAGAAACAAGGTAAAAGATGACTACCCTTTGCTGGTTTAACATATGAATGAGGGCTGGAGAGCTGGCTCAGTGGTTAAGAGCACTGGCTGCTCTTTCAGAGATTCTGAGTTCTATTCCCAGCAACCACAAGGTGGCTCACAGCCATCTGTAATGAGATGCAGGCATACATGTAGGCAGAGCACTATATACATAATAAATAAATAATTAGATATTAAAAACAAAAACAAACAAACAAAAAAAAAAAACACATGACTGGGATGTTCTGGCCAGAACAATTGAACAAGAAAAAGAAACTGTTGCATCCAAACTGAAAAGGAAGAAAAAACAAACAAAAACCCAAGCCTCTCAGCAGGTGACAACTACAAGCTATCTCTAAAGATTGTACAACAGGGGCTGTGGAGAGACCTGGCAGTTAAGAGCACGGGCCTAGGCCACAGCTAAGAGTCTTCCATAGCACTCAGGCTTGGCTACCAGCACCCACATGGTGGCTTACAACCATCAATTACTCCAGTTCAGGGGGTTGCAGCTTCTTTCGGCTCTGTACACACATGGTTCATAGACATACATGCATGCAAAATCCCACACATCCACTCCCTCCAAAATCCTAAACCTAATGTGAGACTCACAACTGTAAACCTCTCATAGGAAACAGTCAAAAGCTTCAAGCTACTGGATGTGACTGATTATATATCAAAAGCACAGGCAACAAAAGAAAAAAAGTAAAACTACTTCATATAACAAGAACATTCCATGTAGCAAACATACAGTATCAACACAACAAAAAGGCGACTTTAGATAGAAAATACTAGCAAATCATGTGCTGGATGCAGGGCTAAGACCCATAATATACAGAGAACTTCTGAAACTCAGCAATAAGACAAATGACTTGATGTATATATGTAAACAAATGTACTTGTGGGTACAAGATAGCACACAGAAGAGAAAAATCTCTAAATACTAGAGGAAATATAAACACAAGTTACATCCCCTTGAAAGAGAACATAAAAGGCAATTGTTTTTCTAGTTCTAAACAGATCTCTCTCTCTCTCTCTCTCTCTCTCTCCTCTCTCCCTCTCCCTCTCCCTCTCCCTCTCCCTCTCCCTCTCTCTCTCTCTCTCTCTCGGTTTTACGAGACAGGGTTTCTCTGTATTGTTTTGGAGGCTGTCGATCCAGCGGAACTCACAGAGATCCGCCTGCCTCTGCCTCCTGAATGCTGGGATTAAAGGCGTGGGCCACCAACGCCCAGCCAGACTTCTCATTTTTGGTGGTGGAAAGTGCACAAAAATGTTTTCAATAGCTTAAGCATCAACTCCAATGAGAAGTCCCACAGCATCCTTTCTGAACGGCTACTCTAACTTCATCGAGTTGGATAATGTTTAAGTCTGCTTAATTTCAGTGTGATGATTTTTTTATTCACAACTTTAAAAAATAACATTAAAAAAAAAAAAGAAAAGAAAAACAAGCTGGGTGGTGGTGGCACATGTCTTTAATCCCAGCACTCAGGAGGCAGAGGCAGGCGGATCTCTGTGAGTTTGAGGCCAGTCTGGTTTACAGAGGGAGTTCCAGGACAGCCAGAACTATTACACAGAGAAACCCTGGCTCAAAAAACCAGAAAGAAAAAAAGGAGAGACAGACAGACGGATGCAATATGAGGTGAAGCTGAGTGCTTCAGGGCCTACCAGAGAGGAAAGGATGAATCTGTGGAGCACAGATGCTTTGAAGGGCAGGGGAAATACTAATACTATTGCACTGTATGGCAGACACTTGTCATTCTGTATTCGTCAAACTGAGAGCGACCCTAATGCAAACTGTGGACTTCAGACAATTATGAAGTAATGCTATAAAATTATTTAGTAAATGGAGACACTGACAGTGGAAAGTAATGTGTACCAAAAGGGTTTATATGGGAATTTCTCTATCTTTTGCTCAATTTTACCCTGAAAATAAAACTCTCCTAAAAATAAATCACATCAACAAAAAAGGAACAACAAGAAAAAAAAAAGCTAATTTTAAATGCAAAAATAAATTCAAATTGTTTAGTAACCATAACTACTTCAGGGTTCCTAGCATAGGAGCTAACTAAGGTCAATGAGTTACACAAATCACCCCTACTACATAGACCTTAAAACAATCTATGAAGAGTATACTCAAAGTGAGGTTGTTATATAGCCCTGTAGTCCACATACCTTTATTCCAGTATTAGTAGCATCTTTTACAGCTTTTAATAATATATCATATTTGGGATTAAAAGTGACAGTGAAAGCACAATCAATTATTCTACCTGAAAGAGAAAAAAAATCATCTTTAAATTTACCAAACTGTTAAGAGATGTACTTGCTCCACAGTACTTACTCTACTAACCCTGAGTTACAAGGAGAAATAATGGCTCACGGGAAAGCAGCGTTTGAAGTCCCCAGAGATTATGTAGAATCAAAAAGGCAAAAAGTAGCAACTATTCAATGACTTCAGAATAAATTTTGCTCAATTCAGTGCTCTCCCACACAAACCAATAAACAGAATAAACACTGAGGAAATATAGCAGCAATATGGACAGAAAACAATCTATAACAAGAAAGCATTAAACAAAGTGTCACTCATCCAATTTAGCAAAACCTTAAAATCTTAATACTCAATCTAAACTACACTTCCTGGACTGTTAAACGATATACACTGACCAAACAAAATTCTACAAATACTATTTTGTTGTCTTTTGAAATGTGGCCCCATGTCTTCCAGCCTGGCCTCAACTGACTATATGGCATAGGATATCCCTGAGCTTCTGATCTATTTCCTAAGTGCACGACCATGTCCATTTTTCAAAAAGACAGTGTCTACTGTGTACCTCTGGCTGTTCAGGAACTTGCTATGTAGATCAGACAGGTCTTGACCTCACAGGGGTTCACTTGCCTCACCCTGAGATTAAAGCTGTACGCCACCAAACCTGGCTTTGTAACAACTGGATACAGGGTCTCAGTATGTGGTCCTGGATATCCTAGAATTCTATGTAGAACAGACAGGGTTTGAGTTCACAGATATCCACCAACCTGTGCCTCCTAAGTGCTGGGATTAAAGGCCTGGGGTCCAAATTTTTCTCTCTCCCTAAATGTGACATTGGGGATTAAATGTCAGACTACTGAGCTATATAAACAGCCCTAGCAAAGTATTTTATATGTGAATAAAACAATGACCTGAATGGGAAAAAATGTAGAATCATCTATGAAAGCAAAATAAACATCAATTATCCAATAGTTTCCAGTTTAACCTAAAGCAACATAAAACTCTGCCTCAATACAGGTTCCAGAAAGGGAGACAGGAACAGATGCAAAGGCATCCCTGCTAGTCCAGGAGGCAGAGCTGAGTGGAAGGTGGCATTATGTCCACAGACTCACCATTTATGTGTGTTCCAAAGTCTATCTTGCAGATGTCATCATACTGTAAGACTGTCGTGTCACCAGCATTTGGCGTGTAATGTGCAGCACAGTTGTTAAGAGAACACCCAGTGGGAAACGCCAGGCCTGCATTTAACCCATTCTCTTTTATTAGCTTTCGAGAACAGTCTTCTAACTTCTCACTAAAGGAAAAGGGAATTTGCTTTTAGACTCATACCTTCCAGTCAATCCTTTCAATCCCAAGTTTACTAAAACCCTGGATCCTTTCTGAATATATACAACAGCTCTCCAATGAGGTACTATTAGCCCATCTTGAAAGACAAGGAAACCAACTCCATTACAAACTCAAAAGGACAGTTTACTCAGAACTTCAGTTACCAGGGATCAAGATCCCACTTACACCAAACTTAAGGGCTGCATATCACATGTGCACACACACAATTTTAACTTTTAAGTATATGGGTGTTTTGCCTGCATATATGCAAGCACATATAAAAGAACATGCCTAGCATGCAATTGTGTACATGCTTTAAGATATACAAGAACTCAGAAGACATTTATATAATCTCTACTTGAGATTAAAAATTCAGTAGCATAGGGCTGGCTCAGAGATTAAGAGCATTAGCTGTTCTTTCAGAGGTCCTGAGTTCAGCAACCACATGGTGGCTCACAACCATCTATAATGAGATCTGATGCCCTCGCCTGGCTTGTAGGCATACATGCCAACAGCACATTGTATGCATAATAAATAAATCTTTATTAACTAGGGAACTAGTTAGTACTAAAATGAACACCTTCCCTCGCCCCCTTAAAAAGACAGTATCTCACAAAATAGCCCTAGCTGGCTTGTTATTCACCATGCAGATCAGGCTGACCTCAAACTCGAGACCACCTGCCTCTGCCTCCCATTGGTAGGTGTGGCCCACCACCATGGCCAGTCCTCTTACCAGATCTCTATCATTGTCATCCCAGGCTTGATCCAGCTCATAACATATTTTCTAACTTGTCGATGTGCTTCTGCAGCTTCTCGGAAGTCATTCCAAATCTCTTCACTAGCCTGATCTAATGCTTTCTTTTCTTCACTTGTAGTTCTCCAAGCAGCTGTTCGCCTTTAAATAGGCATAGCATAATGAGTCATTTGAAAACAACTTCACGAGAACATTAAAGCAGAAGATAAAATACGCCAAGCAATATAAAGCATCATCAGTTTCTATATATTTAACAAAATTTTTGAAATATTAAGTCGCATGCTTGCAATTAATCCAATTTACATGAAACCCCTCTAAAAGATTCTTACAGGGAAACAAAACCCTCAAGTTGAGATTTCATTCATACTCAGAGGGACTAATTTTCTACTACCAAAAAAATGACTGGAAATCAGAAATGGAGAAAGTGTGTGTTTGTTAGTGGGTTATCCTTGCACTTGAGGACAAACACAATGAGTCTTCAAAGTACAACAACTAACAGGTAAGCAGAACTTTCCCTATCAGTATCTGGAGAGCTGGTTCCAGAAACCCTTCTAATCCCTACCATTCTGTGGACAGCAAGATTGCCCAAGTCCCTGGTATCAAATAGTATTATACTCATGAATAATCCCTGTTATAAATCCTCTCCACACAGTTTAAAACTCCTAGCTCAAAGTAATGCTGTCTCAGCAAGAAGTTGTATTGCTTTAAGGTCACAAAAACATCTGCACAAAAGCTAGATGTGGGCTCACACCTATAATCCCAGCCCTCTGTAGATTGAGGCAGGAGAATTACCACAAATCTGAGACTAGCCAGGGCTACTTGGTGAGTTCCAGGCTAGGCTAGGATACACAGTAAGATATCCTACCAAAAAAACACCTATTTAAATATACAAAACCCCCATGCCTGCATCTGCTAGATGAGCTGCATCTTTGCGGAAGGGATGCTCTTAAAACTCTATCTTTGTGTAGATTTTCAGAGCCTTTGCTTCCGCCAATCAATGGTTCTCCCCTATTCTGAGGAACTGTTACAATTTTCACACATTCTTTTTGATTGTTGAGACAGAGTGTCAGCTGTGTAATCCTGGCTGCTCTGAAATATGCTATGTAGGTCAGTCTGGTCTACAGAGTAAGTTCCAAGACAGCCATACTACATAAAGAAAATGTGCCCCCCAAAATAAACATATAAATAAATAATTAAAGTGTTTTGACGCATGTATGTCTCTGTACCTGTGTGCCTGGTGCCCAGAGCCCAAAAGAGGGTATCAGATTCTAAGAAACTGGAGTTATAGACAGTTGTAAGCCGCCATATGGGTGTTGCAAATTAAACCTAGGTCCCATGGAAGAGCAGCCAGGGAGTGCTCTCAACCACTGAGCAATCTTTCCTCTCTAGTTTTATACATTTTTGACTTAACTCATATCTGTCTAAACCAGTGATTCAGCAGACTAGTCTGCAGATAAATCCACTTGGTGCCTGATTTGTAAATAAAACTGTACTGCAACACAGCTACACATACTTGTTCATACATAGTCTATGGCTTCACTTGTGAGCTGTGTGTGTGCATGTGTGAAGCCAGAGGTCAACATGAGGCATCTTCCTCTATGGCTTTCTGCATTAGGTGTTGAGACAAAGCATCTCACTAGACCTGGGGATTACGGGCACACACCACGTTTAGCTTTCTCATGGCACTCAGGACCCACATTCACGTCCCCACGCCTGTGTCATCTGACTCCAGGCCTTGCACACACTAAGAAAGAACTCTTGAGCAGCACAGCTACTCCTCTTCAGCACCGTACACGGTACACAGTGACACTCAAGTATCCTCTACACTGTTCACTGTACACAGTGACACTCAAGTATCCTCTACACTGTTCCCAGTACACAGTGACACTCAAGTATCCTCTACAGCACTGTTCACGGTACACAGTGACACTCAAGTATCCTCTACACTGTTCACTGTACACAGTGACACTCAAGTATCCTCTACACTGTTCCCAGTACACAGTGACACTCAAGTATCCTCTACAGCACTGTTCACTGTACACAGTGACACTCAAGTATCCTCTACAGCACCCTTCATTGTATACAGTGACACTCAAGTATCCTCTACAGCACTGTTCCCAGTACACAGTGACACTCAAGTATCCTCTACGGCACCCTTCACAGTACACAGTAACACTCAAGGCCTAATGCACAGCTGTTCTAAAATGCAGGCTTCTATATCAATGCCCCAATACTTTGACTCTTTGTAACATGGTCAGATTCTTCATTTCCTACTGGTGCTGTTACTACTGTAAAATCAACATCCCGCACCTCAGACTTCCTGCAAACGTCCAAAGAAAAGGCCTACTTGACACAAGGATACCACACTTGAGCACAACAGAAACTTCTTAATTTGTTTTTCTGTTTGCAGATGTATGCTATCTACCCACTAGTATAACCAAATAAACAAAATAGTAGATTAATTTAAATCCAGGTTTTTGAACAGAAATGATTATAGACTATATAACTTCATCTTTGGTAATTCCTCAAATTCTAATACTCTTGTCTCTTCCTCCCAAAACAGACATTTACCACTGGTTTGATCCATGTCAGGGTCCAACCCAGGAATTAACGAATTTGAGGCAGACATTCTACCAACTGAGCTACATCCATTCTCAACTCCATTTTTAAAAACTATTTTTGCCATTTTATCAGTGGATAAGTAAAAATCAAAAGACCAAAAGTAGAAAAAACAAACACAAAAACCCCAGGAGTGGTGATGCATGCCTTTAGTCCCAGCACTTAGGAGGCAGAGACAAGAAGATCTCTGTGAGTTTGAGACTAGCTGAACAGTGAGTTCCAGGACAGTCAGAACTATATAGTAAGAACTAAAGCCTCAAATAAAACACAAATAAAATAAAAATAAAAGATCAAAGGTGTCTAAATACTAATTTGAAGTATTTTTTATTGTTTAAAACAGGAGGGTCTCACTATGTATCCCTGGCTGGTCTCAACTTACATCTACCTGTCTCTGCCTCCCTAGTGGTGGGATTAAAGGTGTGTGTATGACCTCTGACATTATTTGAGTCCAGTATTCAAAAAGAAAAAAGCTAATTTCATTTGCATTTTAAAGCATATATACACACACATATATGCGCTTTAAAATGTATGCCTTTAACCTCCAAGTAATTAAAATATAAAAGCTAAGTAAAAATATCTTTCTCTGAAAATTGGTCAAGAGCAAAACACATTTTAAATCTTCAACTAGGAATAAACCATAATTGATTCCCGCTTGGTAAGAGAACACTCATCTGAAAAAATATAATAAATGTAGAGGGGATGATATAATTAGAAAGTCACTATTTTGTAGTTTCCAATGAAAGAACTGATAGAACAAAAATCACTAGATATTAAATAATTAAGTGAAAAGTGGTTGAAGTAAAAGGATAGCCATGCCAATGGTTCAAAGAATCACAGACCTTTGGGAACTACAAAAACAAAAGATTATCTTAAAAAAGAAAGATCTGCCTGGCATTATGTCACACACTTAATCATAGCACCAGGTAGGTAGATTCTCAGTGAGTTCAAGGTCAGCCTGGTTTGTGTAGTGAATTTCAGGATAGTCAGCTACAAAGCGAAACCCTGTCTCAACAACAAACATACATCAAAACCCAAAAAGAGAGATGGGGGAGGGGAGAAGGGAGGGAGGAAAAGGCTAAGGCTGAAGAGATGGCTCAGTGGGTAAAGCACTTACTATGGAAGCATCAGGACCTGTGTTTTGATCCCCAGCACTCACATAAAAGTCAACAGTGGGGCACGCATCTGTTACCTCAAGTGATGGGGCACGCATCTGTTACTTCAAGTGGTGGAATATGCATCTGTTACCTCAAGTGGTGGGCCATGCATCTGTTACCTCAAGTGGCGGGGCACGCATCTGTTACCTCAAGTGGTGGGCCATGCATCTGTTACCTCAAGTGGTGGAATACGCATCTGTTACCTCAAGTGTTGGGCCATGCATCTGTTACCTCAAGTGGTGGAATACACATCTGTTACCTCAAGTGGTGGGCCATGCATCTGTTACCTCAAGTGGTGGAATACGTATCTGTTACCTCAAGTGGTGGGGTATGCATCTGTTACCTCAAGTGGTGGAATACACATCTGTTACCTCAAGTGGTGGGCCATGCATCTGTTACCTCAAGTGGTGGAATACGCATCTGTTACCTCAAGTGGTGGGCCATGTATCTGTTACCTCAAGTGGTGGGGTATGCATCTGTTACCTCAAGTGGTGGAATACGCATCTGTTACCTCAAGTGGTGGGCCATGCATCTGTTACCTCAAGTGGTGGAATACGCATCTGTTACCTCAAGTGGTGGAGTGCACATCTGTTACCTCAAGTGATGGGGCACGCATCTGTTACCTCAAGTGGTGGAGTGCGCATCTGTTACCTCAAGTGATGGGGCACGCATCTGTTACCTCAAGTGGTGGAGTGCGCATCTGTTACCTCAAGTGATGGGGCATGCATCTGTTACCTCAAGTGGTGGAGTGCGCATCTGTTACCTCAAGTGGAGTAATGAAAACAGTCTAAGGGGCTGGTTGGCAAGCTCCAATCAGTGAGAAAGAGACCCCATCTCAAAAAGTAAGGCAGAGAGCCACAGGGATACTGACCTTTGGTCTCCACTCATGCACACCTGCACACATTTGCACATGCACATTCACAAAACACAAGAGGGGGAGAGGGGAAGGGAGAGCAGGAAAGGGGGGGAGAGAGAGAAGAAAAAGTTGATTGTCATCACATAAGTGCTCAAACTCAGCAGACTAACAGGTCAGTCTGACAATACTTCTATATAAAAGTATGATGTGGCCTAAAAGATTATGATATAGCCCTGTCTATACCTAATTACAGCTTACAGATAACCAAGTTTACTACCACAAGGAAAACAGGGAAAGCTAAGAATGTGAGGCTTTTCTACGAGTGTCTAATTTGTTACGGGAGTAAAATGGAGGGCAAACAAAAGGGGCAAGGATTCTAAACACACAGTGCACACTTCTGTAACGTGGGGAACCACTGACACTCTCCAGACTGAACACTCAGAGACTGCATTTATGAGTGCCGTGCAAAATCATTAAGCCAAATATCTAGCACTTATCTCTAAATAGTTCAGTGAAAGAAAAGACAAGTGTGTGTGAACACCATCAAAAAATCAGAGATAAAGCATACAGGAAAAAAGTTAAGACTGTTCAGTATTGGTTGTCAGTGACTTTGTCACAACATCTCAATGTCCGCTCGTTTAAAGTGTCTTGCACTATAGCTCCCAGGTGTTTCTTTTCTGTTTATTCCATTTATTTGAGTGTAGAGTGGGGGGAGGGGCACATACACATGATACACGTGGAAGTTACAGAACAATGTTCAGGAGTAATTCTCTCCTTTTACCATGAGGGGTCTAGAAATTGAATTCAGGTCATTAGGCTTGGCAACAGGTGCCTTTATGTGTCTTGTGGACATGTTTCTAGGTATTTATAATGCACATTCATTATAAGTCAAGAGACTTTTAAAGAGATACAGAGGTTTCTATTTGTTGGCAAAATCAAGAATATTATTTTCTTCATTTTATCAATATTTCCTAGCAATATTGTAAAAGTAACAGTTATCTCTCAAAATTGCCCATGAAATTTAGAAAGAGGAATAACTTCAGAAATCAGAATCATAGAAAATCTTCTAAATTTTAACTCCAGTTCCATGCTGGCAAAATACTCATACATATAAAAAAAACAAAAATAAAAAATATTTTTAAAAATTAGTTTCAAAAAATAAGGACTTGTATATGGAGTCAGTGGTAGGTTTATGAAAGTTAGTGTAGTGGTTAAGAGCACTGACTGCTCTTCCAGAGGTCCTGAGTTCAATTCCCAGCAACCACATGGTGGCTCACAACCATCTGTAATGAGATCTGGTGCCCTCTTCTGACCTGCAGGTGTACATGCAGGCACAACACTATACATAATTTTAAAAAAAGTAATCTCAACGACAACAAAAAATGAAAGTGTGAACACTGCCAGGCACGATAGAGTTCATGCCTCTAACCCAAGCACTCAGATTTAGAAGCAGGAGGGTCAGGAGTTGCAAAGTGACTGACTGTCTAAAAAATAGGGACAACAAGATGGCTCAGCGGGTACAGATGCTTGGTTCAACCTCTAGAACTTACATGGTGGAAGGACAAAAATCAATTCCCAGAAATTATTCTGACTCCCCCCACAAGCTCTGGTATACAGGAGGCCTGCCTCTCCTCTGCCCCTACCAATGCAAAACAAAAACAAAAAGCCAATTAACTAAAAGATATTCAAAATCACTAGCAGTGTAATTATTATGAACTAAAATACTGTTTAATTCTATAATCCCACTCTTGGAAAATTATTTCATAATAAAATTATCCGCCCATAAAATACTCTACCTATTTACCCAAAACATTTGTTACAAAAGATAATAGTGGCAAAAAACATAGGAGACAAAGTAAATGTTCATCAATTACAAAAACAAGGAAAAAAAATGATATACTTATACCACAAAATACCAAAGCCATTCAAAAGAATAACAGTTATTCTTCTAACTTGGAGGGACTTCCAAGAGGTAGTAACTAAATGAGAAAAGGTGAAAAAAATGCTTCTGATTCCATTATTATAAAATAAATGAGCAGAAACTCCCCTCCTATAAACACACACAAAAGCACACATATATGAGCATAGAAAAATATGGAAGGCTACCTGCTAGGTGGTTAACATGGGTCTGGAAGGAAGGGAAAGAAGAGGGAACAAGCAAAATAAAAAAATAATTAAAAGATTATATTTGAAAATAAATGTGATCACATCATACGTACTATGAGAGTTTATGTAATTAATGTAATTCCACGTATTTATGACATTTTAAGGTATGGATAGTAATAGATGAATTCAAAGAAAGAAAAAGTATCTATGTCATAAAATTTCAGAATTTTACAGATTCCCTAATACTCATATCTGGGACTGAGGGAGGTGAAATTTTAGTAACACTATTCATTTCTATGTTTATAGGTCAATGAAACAATGCTACAGTAGAAGCTTTCTTAACCAATTATTCCACAAACTGTGATCAGTAATGCTCTTGGTTTCTTCGTGAAGACACACATGGTATCGTAAACACACACGTCCAGCAGGCTGCTGTCCTGACAGAGCAGTAACTTATCTAGTGCTGACAATGCATCTGCTGCTTGTCTAGGCACAGTCCTGTGCAGGGTACACTTTATGAAGAGGAGATAAAAGCATAGGCCTAAGTTATCTGCCTGTGTAATAAAACCAATTAAAGCATTAGAAGTGAGATTCAAATGTCACAATGTGGTCTCAGTTCCATCGTCAAGTAAAGCGATGGAACGCCCTTACGGAACACTTGTACATTATCAGTCGAGTTTGCTCCCAAGCCTGCTGAATCATCCATGTTATTGTAGTCATGTAACTTACTATGTTATGTAAAAGGAAGTTTCTATGAACTACTCTGCAAAGTTTCAATTAAAGACAAATCATTTAAAAAAAACTTGTCTGTGGCTAGAGAGATGGTTTAGCAAATAACAGCATTTGCTGCTGTTTGCAGAGGACTTAGGATAAGTTCCTAGCACCCACATGGAGGTTCACAACCATCTGTAATTCCAGTTTCAGGGGACCCAAAGCCCTCTTCTGACTTCCAAACACCAGCATGCATGCGGTACATTATATATAAATGCAGGCAAGACACTCATACACATACAATAAAGTAAACACATTGTGAAAGTTCTCTTGTCAAATTAAGCACTGATGACTGCTGGAAGCAAGCAGGCTGACAAAGCAGTAAAGTACTTGCCATGTGAGCCTAACACCTCAAGTTCAGATCCCCAACACCCAAGAAAAAAATAAGCCCTGTGCGATGGCGTGTGCTTTCAAACCCCAGCGCTGCAGGTGGCGAGCAGGCAGACCCCAGACACACACACACAAACTGTAAATGTTTATAGGGAAAACGCCACACACAACACACATCAACTCGCAGGTAACTTCATTCTGCTCATCTCCCCAGAAACACAAAATGACTTCTTTAATAGGAAAGCATTATGAATACTTTATGGAGAAGAAACTGCAATCTAACGCAATCCATGCTGAAAGACTACAAGGGAAAACAAGCAACTTACCCATGTCTGTGAAGACTTCGGTTTTTAACACCTACCCTAACATGCTGGTACTGGGCCCCAATTACTTTGGATAAGAAGGCTTCTACTGTATGTTCTTTGTAACAAGTCACAAACTTTTAATGCAACTGTGAGTAAATTTCTGAGCAAAGCTCAATTGGCTTTGCTGCTAAGCTACAGTAGTCAGAGGCAAACGGGAAGCTAGTTATGACTCTTACCCATCTTGTGTGGGTGGGTATTCACACTCTTGTCCTTTGGGAAATACACCATTAGGATACAGGTCACATATTGGAACTGAGGGAGGGTCTGTTTGAACCTTTGCTGTGAGATACAAACAGTCAGTTATACTATCTACAAAAACAGTGTAGCAGAAACATATGTGAAACAGTACAATATACAAGTTGTTAATAAAACCTCACCATATTTACACTTTAAATTAAAGAACTTCTCATTAACCATTTATCCAAAATCTAATCATTTCAAAGCTAGTAGATACAAAAACTATATTCTTCCTGTTGCCCTATAGTGGCACTACTTTTACCATTCTTTGCAGAATTACTTAATTCTACAAAGTATGTACATTTAAGATTATATAAATTTTAAGAACTCATCCTTAACTTGCAATTAAAGGCAAATATCATACTAACACTCCTGAGGATAATGGCTGAAAAAATGCCAGTAAGACCATTAAATCATGATTATTAGTTTCACTAAATCCAAACCCTTGTCTATTTCTCTGACAAGCACTATGATCTAAGCAAATTTTAGCTCTCCTCCAAGCCCGTGGTTATCTAACAAGACACTTACGTCCTCTCTTCTTCTTCTTCTTTTTCTTCTTCTTCCCAGATGCGCCATCACCATCACCATCTCCATCTGAAAAAATACATTCATTTAAGTTGCAGAGAAATGAAGCAAATACAAGAGCAAGTGTGTGCACCCACAAACACAGGCAACTCCTCTTAATAACACTGACGGCAGTCAGAATTCTTTTTTGGGGGGGGGGGGTAGGGGTTCCAGACAGGGTTTCTCTGTGACTTTGGAGGCTGTCCTGGAACTAGTTCTTGTAGACCAGACCAGGCTTGTCTCCAACTCACAGAGATCCACCTGCTTCTGCTGGGATTAAAGGCGTGTGCCACCAACGCCCAGCATCAGTCAGCATTCTTACAAGTTTTTTCCATGCTTCTAGAATTAAGCATCAGATGTGACATTAAAACACTAGCACCTTTTACTTTGAATTACTTTAATAACTATTGAATAAAATACGCATTTTCTAAATTAACTTTACCGTGTGTGTGTGTGTGTGTGTGTGTGTGTGTGTGTGTGTGAGTGCATGCCACATCCACTCATGGAGGTCAGATCCCCTGGGTCTGGACACATAAGCAGTTGTGAGCCACCCAATGTGGATCATAGGAACAACTTCTGATGCTCTGCAAAAGCTACCTCTCCAGCCAAAATGAAAATATTTTTTTAAAAAGTATTGTTTGAATGAAAATATTTTTAAGAATACTCTATCAACTTAAAAAAAAGCTAGACAAGTAACTGTCATTAGTTTAATAATAGTAATGGCCCAATGCCTTCATCTAAAACAACAACATTACAGATCCTTTGCATTACATACATGTATTTCACCAGGCAAGCCTTTAATCCCAGCACTCAGACCTCCACTTTAATTATTTTTACTTCAAATCACCAAACCATGTAAAAATGAATGCTGAACCTATTTGTTCCAACAGTCCTGAGTGATAAATGACATACGTGATGCTTATCTAGTGAGGGAGTAACACTGGGATGTGGTGTTTTACAAGGTCTGCTTTGAATAGTTATCACAGACCCTGTATCCAAAGATGAATGTGCACATGCACATCCTGTAGGCTCACAGGTTTCACGGCCTCAAAACAGGCCACCTGTGTTCATGCCAGTAATTTCAGCATCTGGAAGGCTGAGGTAGAATGTTGGTGAGTTTATTGTCAACTGGGTTACAAAGTCAAAAACAAAAAACCCACCAAACCAAACAAACAAAAAACCCCAACCCTCAAAAATGAGACTTAAGAACTTTGTACCAGGCTGGAAAGATAGCTCATCAGGTAAGAGCACTGGCTTCTCTTCCAGAGGATCTGGGCTTGATGCCCAGTTCCAGGGCATCTGTTGGTGGAGTACAGACATATACAGGCAAACACCCATACACACACACAAAAAAATTTTAAGTTAAATGACCAGTTATCTTTTTGATGCATACCCCTTTAAATCCTAGGTTCATAAAAGAATCATTTAAAAAATTATTTCTACTCTACAATTTTCTAATTAATCACACATAAAAATCATAATCATTGGCTTATAATGATTGCTTATCTGTGTGTAGGCTATTTAAAAGACCAATAAGACAAGTGTTGCTAACTAGCACAGTAACAAGAATGTGATAATTAGAGTCTACTAAAAAATGCTTTTAGTTTATCTTTTTCTTTTACTTAAAAGAAGCTTATAATTTGTTACGTTCAATTACATGACATTAGTAGGCCCATTACACAGAGTATGGTAAACACACTAATACTGTTGAAATGTCCAACATGAAAAATATTTTATAATATACATTTTTTGATGTTCCTCAACACAGTGGTTTAATTTATGGAGAGGACACAAAAAGCAACACCTAGACAAGGACATAAATTCACTGTCATCAGGATTAAACTTGTTTCTACCATCAGCAAGCGCAGCAGTCACCACGAAGGAGAAAACATGCATCCAGCACACTCAAACAACAGTTTCAGCCCAGAGACACTTAAAACAGGAACTAAGACTACCACAAGCACTTCAAAATGATGCATGCAAAGGAGTAAGATCATGACAGCACACTCATCACAGTGGAACTGCAAACTACAGTGACTAACAATACATACGTATTACAGAGGCTGTAATTCAAAAGTCAACAGTTACCAATTTCTTACAAGCATACTAACAACGGAGTACTCACTGCTGACACGAACGGCACACTTGGAAAAACTGTCGTCGTCCCGTCCCCCGTCTTCATCCACCCCCTCCCCCAGGGTCTCACTATGTTCTCTGACTGTCCTGGAACTCACTATGTAGACCAGACTGGCCTTGAACTTCCAGAGATCTGACTGCCTAAAGGCATATATCACAACACAGGGTTTGACAGCTTCTTTTTCTTTTCTCTTCTTTTTAAGATTTATTTATCACCTATAGTGTTTTGCCTACATGCCAGAAGAGGGCATCAGATTGAATTGTAGATGGTTGTGAGCCACCATGTGGTTGCTGGGAATTGAACTCAGGACGCCTGGAAGAGCAGCCATCTCTCCAGCCCCTTGACAGTTTCTTACGAAGCATAGTACTGTGTTATGAGGTAGCTTCCAAACAAATGGAGCAAAGAGCCTTTCTAGTATCTCATATTATATATACAAGTGCAAGTGACCAGGAATCCTAATCCCAGGTATTTACCCAAAGAAATAAAATCACATATACATAAAGACATGTATACAAATAACTAGATAAACATTAACAACAAAGAACAGCAGTCTTCAATGAGTAAATGGACAAGTAAATTCTGGACTACCACTCAGCAATAAAAATGCATTAACACTTCCTAAAAAGGAACATTAACAACTTGATGACTGTCAAAACTATGAAGTAGGGACTAGGGATATTTCCCATTAGGTAAGAAAGTTTGCTGCACAAGGGTGAGGACCTGAGTTCAAATCCCCATCACCCATTTAAAGTTGGGCACAGCTGCATATGCCCATAACTCTTCCAGCACTGTGGGATTGACAGGCAGATCAGGGGTGCCCCAGCAAGCCTAGGAAGGAAGTGGGCTTCAGGTTCAGTTAAGACCCTAACTCAAGGGAATGAGGCAGAATGAGAAAGACAAACACTCATTGTCCTCTGGCCTCCACACCACACACCCACACACAGTGCGATAATAAGGAAAGTAAGACAAACAACAAAAAGCTGAATATGAATAACTGCATTCATGATACTCCAGGAAAGAACACTGTATGCAGAAACAGATTAGAGACGCCAAGGGGAAGGATGTGGAGCAAAAGAGCCAGATACTAATGGACACCAGGTAAATGGCTTGTGCGGGTGAGAACAGACTACAGGCCAGAGAGATGACTAAGTGGGTAGACGTGCCTGCCACCAACCAGATGACTTTAATTCAATCCCCCAGGGTAGAAAAGAGAATCTATCATATTATACATACATGTGCATGGTCACTTGCACATGTATATATAATATGAGATACTACAAAGGCTCTTTGCTCTATTTCTTTTTGGAAGCTACCTCATAACACAGTACTATGCTTCATAAGAAACTGTCAAGGGGCTGGAGAGATGGCTGCTCTTCCAGGGGTCCTGAGTTCAATTCCCAGCAACCGCATGGTGGTCCACACCCACACACAGTATTTTCAATATAAATAGCCTACATATATTTGTTGTTGACAAATCACACAGTTATACATTGTTTCTACATCATCCATCTATCTACAGGCACAAAGGAATAAACATTATTCAATAAACTTGAAGTTCACTGAATGTGTGTTGTGGCAGCGATGCACTCCCCATGAGTGCATGCCTCTCAGAAGGATGTCCTTCCCAGACAGAGACCAGGGAAACACAACAGAAAGCACAGCCCTGGTGCAGGGCACCAGCTGGCACTCTGTCCGTGTAAGATGCCCAGGGTGCCACACAGTTCCCACCAGGCTCGGCTGCCCTGTTGGCCTACAGAAAGAAAAGTGAAGCTTACAGAGGGCGAGGTGAAAGAACCCGCCTCATGACCGGAGCCCTCCCAATAAACAGGCAAACACTGACTGAAGCCAGGCGACAATGCATACCTGTTACACCAGAACTAAAAAAGGCTGCGCTAGGAAGATTTTGAGGCCAAAGCCAGCCTTGGTCCACACAACAAGATCTGTCTCAAATAGAAGAAAAAAAAATGAGCCGGGTGTTGGTGGCAGACGCCTTTAACCCCAGCACTTGGGAAGCAGAGGCAGGCCAATCTCTGTGAGTTCGAGGCCAGCTTGGTCTAAAGAGAGAGTTCCAGGAAAGCCTCCAAAGTTACAGAGAAACCCTGTCTCAAAATAAAAAACAAAAAACAAAACAAACAAAAAAAAAGATTTAATAAATTACCTCTGGCACAATGCCAGATGGCCACAGGATCACCCTCTCACACCGGTACTCAACAATTTCAAATGTAATACACCTAAAATGAAATTCGTTATCTTCTTCCTTGCCTGCAATCACCCTTCCTCAATCTCTAAGAAACTCTATCCCTAACTTCATTATTTCAATCAGATATCAATATCCTGCCACCCAACTCAAACCCCTGGAATGGACTAATGCCTATCTCCCTGCTCCCCAGATCGACAGTCTCTATTACTGCTCCATTAAACTCTTCCTTCCATCCCTATCTACAACAGCAATTTAAATATTCATTACCACATACACAGCCAATTGCTAAGTGGTCTCAAAAATGATCTCTCCTATATTTTTCCCTAGGCTCTCTCAAACAATCTTCTCATTTGCACTGTTCACCATGCTTCCAAACGTTCTCAAAGTTAACCCCTACTCCTATAAATGGTCTTTCCCATCTGGACTGCTTGGTTGCTTTTTCTTTCCTCTTCTATTTGAGATGGGGCCTCACTATGTAGCCCAGGTCTAGAATTGCTATGCTAGACCAGACTAGCCTCAAAAGAGATCTGCCTGGTTCTGCCTTCTAAGAGCCATCAATCCCGAGCTCCATTTGGATTTAATCAAGTCCCAAATGCTTCCAACAAGAGTTCCTTCACTCAGCTACTCCAACACACCTCCACTTTCCGAACTAATTCGCATTGAACTGTAACATGCACAGAGTGCTTTTTCACCTCTAAGTTATGTCTCTCAACCACACCAACCAGTTTTTCTTTAAAAATAATTCTGAAACACCCTCTATTTTTTCCACCCCCTCCACAGCGTTTTTTTTTTTTTTTTTTTTTTTGGTTTTTTACGAGACAGGGTTTCTCTGTATTGTTTTGGAGGCTGTCGGTTCAGCCCGGCCTTGAACTCACTGAGATCCGCCTGCCTCTGCCTCCCGAGTGCTGGGATTAAAGGCGTGCGCCACCACCGCCCGGCTCCACAGCTTATTCTTAACAACAAGGAAACGAGCCATGGTGTCTATACCTATATTACCAACTCTTGAGAAATAGAAGCAGGTGGAAAGGAATCTGCCTCATTCTTAGTGTGCAAAGGCACTTGCTGTCAAGCCTGATAACCTGAGTTGGAACCCAGGGATTCACAAGGTAGAAGAGGAGAAAGGTTGTACTTAGACTTCCATACATGCATCATGGGCATGCATGTATACACAAAATAATTAAAGGTAACTAAAAAATATACAAGTTGGGGGACAGGAGAGGGAGTTAGAGAAAAAAGAAGGGGAGAAGAGGAGGGGAGAGGAAGACATGTGGGAGCAGGAAGACTGAGTCCGGGGAAGAATAGAGGAGAGCAAGAAAAGTGATAGCAGCCGGGCGGTGGTGGCGCACTCCTTTAATCCCAGCATTCGGGAGGCAGAGGCAGGCGGATCTCTGTGAGTTCGAGGCCAGGCTGGACAGACAGCCTCCAAAACAATACAGAGAAACCCTGTCTCGAAAAACCAAAAAAAAAAAAAAAAAAAAAAGAAAAGTGACAGCATAATACAGGGAGCCATTATAGGTTTAAAGAGACATCTGGCACTAGGGAAATGTCCAGATATCTACAAGGAAGGATGACCCCAACTAAGCAACAGCAGAGAGGCTATCTTAAATGCCTTTCTCCTATAATGAGATTGAGGACTATCTTATATGCCATTCTAGAGCCTTCATCCAGTGGCTGATGGAAGCAGAGGCAGACACCCACAGCTAAACACTGAACTGAACTCCTGGAATCCAGTTGCAGAGAGGGAGGAGTGATGAGCAAAGGGGTCAAGACCAGGCTGGAGAAACCCACAAACAGCTGACCTGAACAAGGGGGGAGCTCATGGACCCCAGACTGAGAGCAGGAAACCAGCATAGGTCCAACCCAGACCCCTGAACATGGGTGTCAGTTAAGAGGCCTGCCTGGACAGTATATAGAGCCTCTGGTAGTTGATTAACATTTATCCCTAGTGTACAACTGGACTTTGGGAGCCCATTCCATGTAGAGGGATAATCTCTCAGCCTAGACACATGGGAGAGGGCCTAAGCCCTGCTCCAAATTATGTGACAGACTTGAAGATCTCCCATAGAAGGCCTCACCCTCCCTGGGGAGCAGAAAGGAGATGAGATAGGGGGTTGGTTGGGGGTAGGAGAGAAGGGGGGGGGGACTGGGATTGACAATTTAAATTAGAAACAAGATTGTTTCTAATTTAAATTTTAAAAGGGGGGAAAATAAAACAGCAAAAAAAAATTACAAGTAATGTTGATTCTGGTAATCAATGAATTAGAAAAGTAATTAACTCAAACTCAGAGAAAACTACCAGTGTAACATACAAAAGTCTTCTTTCAATGTCAATGAGACTCAGGCAACTTCCTAGGTGAAATGAAACAAGGCACACTCCCAAGACTATTCTGTGAGGTTCCACACAGCAGACCACTGTATTATCTAAAGTTTGCAAATCCTTTTCTTATTCAAAGCTATCTGAAGCAAGGTAGAACAGAGGTTCGCTAAGGAAGAGGAAAAGCTGAGGGCTTCTTGAATGTAGTGAACCTATCTTTCTTTTTTTTCTTTTTTTTTTTTGGTTTTTCAAGACAGGGTTTCTCTGTATTGTTTTGGAGGCTGTCCTGGAACTCACTCTGTAGACCAGGCTGGCCTCGAACTCACAGAGATCCGCCTGCCTCTGCCTCCCAAGTGCTGGGATTAAAGGCATGCACCACCAACACCTGGCCTGAACCTATCTTTCTAAAGGAAAAACAATTTAAAAACTACCTTATCCAGTTAGTAGTTGAAGCATAATCATAGGTAGACAGACCTTAAGGTAGAGCAGCTGATGCTGACAGTAGAGAACCAAAAACCCAAAGAATGGGAAAGCCCCATTTACTCCTGTGCGAAAGGATGGAAAGCAGTAATGGGTTTCCTAATCTCCTCTCCTCCACTGTTTTACTGGCAGCATCAAGTACTAACTTCTGCCTTAAAAGAAATCTATAGTAGCCACTTGTACTTACATTTAGAAACACTCCAGTATGCACATCTGAGAATGATGAAAACCAATTTTGGTATGGACAAGAGAAGGGACAAACTTTGGACAAGATGCTGGATTTCAAACTTCGATACTATTTTACATGCATCAGTCATGCTATAACACACACACACACACACACACACACACACACACACACGACAGCATCTACTACAGCTGGCTTTGCAAGATTAAAAAGCATATGAACGTATCCTAGATAGCACACAGTAGCAGTTCAGAAATATTAAAATCAACAGCTTCTAATTTTATCATACTCACCCAGTACTTGGCCTTCTGCCAAGTACACATCTAAAGTTGAAATCTTGCTATCTAAGTAGGTATCCAACACAGCCAAGGAACACTTAATAAACATTTCCTTTTTATCTGTTACGTTAATTAAGTTTTAACAAGTCAAATGGTAAAGAATTACTAGATGGTGAAATAAGCATATTTTCCTTAATTAAGGTCCTATTTTTCAGGGCTGGAGAGATGGCTCAGCAGTTGAGAGCACTCAATGCTCTTATAGAAGACCCAGGTTTGGTTCTTAGCACATACACCAGGCAGCTCAGAACTACCTATAACTTGAGGTCCAGGTATCCAACACACTATTCTGGCCGCTTAAGGTACTGGCAGGAATGTAGTGCACTTACAAGCAGGCACTCAACAGACACATAAAATGAAAATAATCTTTGGGAATTGAATGTTACATTTTCTGTCTTTTCTAACCAAAGATCAAATTAACTGTTTACCTTCATCATCCTCATCTCTCTCTTTCTCATCCAGTGCTTGTCTTTCCAACTGTCCTGCTATCTCATCCACGGAGGCTCCTGATTCTTTATCAGGTTCTTGTTGCACTGCTGTTGAAACAAAACAGGACAAATCAAATGTTATAAAGGACTTTCCCACACCTGAATATATCCTAATGATACTGCACACTTCACCAATCCTTTCACAATAAACAGCGCAGGAAACAAAACAGAAACTTTATTAATATAATTTGTTAAGCCATGGGGGAGAAAAACTTCCATATCTAAGTAGTACTGTCCACTCAATTCATTCTAGAAAGCTCTCTATTACACATGATAGCATCTACAGGACAAATGGAAATGGAAGTTGGTCCCTATTCTTATTCAGTTTAACCTTAAAGGATGCATAAGAATTAGACGACAATAAATATTTTAAATTACTAAACAGGCAACAACACACGCTGAAGGCCTTAGGAAGAAGAGGCTTTGTTACACACCAGCTGGGCAAAAATAGAAACAACGAGAAAAAGATAGCCCATTATTAAAATACAAGTTTTTAAGCATCTAGCATACCTAAAGTAATTACAATCCAGATGTAGTAGCAATACGTGTTCATAGATAAATACAGTCTAGCACGCTGGTTACTGAAGGAGGATTCCCATTGAGAGAGACGACTGTTAGAAAATACTAGGAGGAGGCAGGCAGATCTCTGTGAACCGGAGGCCCTAGGTACTGGTGGAGGTATGGAAGTCCAGAACAACCCAACCAGCCTGCATAGTGAAACCCTGTCTCAGAAAATTAAAATCGGCCGGCCAGCGGTGACCCACGTCTTTAACGCCAGCACTCGGGAGGCAGAAGCAGGCCGATGGTTGTGAGCTCGAGGTCAGCCTGGTCTACACAGCAAGTTCCACGACAACCAAGGCTACACACACAGAGAAACCCTGTCTCAAAAAACCAACCCTAACTCTTCCGCTTTTCACTCCCATCTAACCACTAAATTTCTGAAATGTGGCGAAGTCCTCTCCAACTTCATTTAATTCAAACCCCGTTTTCCTCTCAAACAATTGTGTACTGCAATGAAGGAGCTTGTGAAAACAAAACTTCTCAAGATAAAACAAGCTCCTAGTTAACAAGGTCCAACTGTAAACATGCAGTTGTTTAACTCTCCTTGCCCAGGGACTTAAGTATTACCAGTTGCGTCCATGCTCACAGAATAACCTGTCTACACTGCCTGCCAGTTGCATCAAAATGCCTGCCAGCCCTAAAACTTGAATATGCTGTAAAATTAAGCACGTGAAAATCAGCACCACCGCCGCCAGTGACACCACGTAAGGACACACACACTCCAAAATCTGCAGCCCCCGGCCAAAACCCGATGTGGACGAGGATGAAGTGTGGGGAGGACGCACAGAGCCAGCCCTATGTTCGACTACCCCACCCCCCAGCCTGGACGAAAGCGGGTAGGTCCAGCAAGCAGGCCGCAACCAGGGTCAGGAGGGATTTCGAGGCGGCGCCCAAACCGCGTGGAAGACGGTGGAGCTGAAGGCCATCGTGCACGTTGCGGGGCCGTGGGTGTCACGGTCTGCGTGGGGGCCGAGTGCGCGCCCCGTGAGCCCCGCGCTAGCACTCGGGAAGCGGGGGCCACTCTCATCCGCCCCCACACCCTCCCACCGTCCCCGAGGGGCCGCGGCACGGGAGGCCGGCCGCGCCACTCCGCCAGGCCTGGGGATTCAAGGCGGCCAGGGCTCCGGGCTGCCGGCGCCCCGGTCACTCGTGCCGGGCCCGAGCCAAGTCGTTCAGCCATTCCTGGCAGGGGCTGCGAAAACCAGGACTCCTTACCTGACACGGCCCCTTTGCCCTTCTTCTTCTTCCGTCTCTTCTTCTTGGCGGCTTCCTCGGCCGTGCTGGAAGTGCCCTCCTCCCTGTCGTCCGGATCGACGTCGCCATTCAGGTGGCTCCCGAAGGACGCTGCCTCCTCCACGCCCGCCATGTTGCCCGAGAGAGCGAGCGGCGGAGTGAGAGCGAGAGGCGCCGACCCGCTCCTTCTTCACCCACCTCCTCCAGCGATGCCGCCGGAAGTCGCTCTCGATGGTCGGGACGCAGGGAATGCTGGGACGGCGGAGGACTCCGCCGCACGCGGCCCGAGCGCCCGCCCGCCCCCCGTGCGGCTCGCCTCCGCCGGTGTCCGGCCTGACGCCTCTGTGGTCCCGAACCGAGAACGCCCCCTGCGCGCTTCTTCCGGGGCCCGAGCGGCTACGAACGCGAGGAGTTTAATGTTCCCGGTTTTTAAAAACCCTAAAAGAAGCGACTAGGGGCGTTTAAAAAAATGTGTTCATTAATGCACATTCCTGATGACTGCGTTGCATTCACTGTCACAGTTGACGAAGGCGCCGTGGAGAAGCTGGGGATGATAATTTTGGTAGCCGGAATTTCGCCCTTCTTGTACTTACTCCAAGCCCCGAAGACTCAAGATAGGATAGCCTCTTGGGGGCGATAATCCCTTCAGTCCCCGCACGCAAGAGGCAGAAGCAGGAGATTCCCTGTGAGTTCCAGGATTACAGAGAGAGGGAGAGACCAGGTTTCAAAGCGGAAGGATAAGGCTTTCTCACGCTTCTCTCACTGTCTAACCCGCAACAAGTACAAGTTCGGACCAATAAGAACACGGCCTTCTCCAGTGATGCCAACCCACACGCTCCAACTTCTTAGTTCTCGTGGAGCTTTTGAATTCAAGATGCCTCAACAGAGCATACTTGAATCTTTTTTTTATTTTAATTTTAAATAGCTTGTTTTACATGTCAATCCCAGTTCCCTCTCCCTCCCCTCCTCCCGCACCCCCCCACCATCCCCCATCCTCCCACCCTATTGCCAATTCCTTCCACATAGGGGATATCTAGAGTCTGTCATTTCACTCAGGGTAGGGTCCAGGCACTCCCCTAAGAGTCCAGGCTGAGAGAGCATCCCTCTTTGTGTTATGGACACATGAAGTCCATTTGTATGCCAGGGATAAACACTGATCTACTGCCCAGGGCCCCATAGGTTGCCCAGGCCTCCTCACTGACTCTCACATTCAGGGGGTCTGGATCAATCCCATGCTGGCCTCCCAGCTGTCAGTCTGGGGTCCAAGAGCTCTCCCCTGTTCGATCAGCTGTCTCTGCTGGTTTTGCCAGCCCATTCTTTGCCAATTTGCTCATCGCTCCTCTCTCTCTGTCGCTGGGTTCCGTGGGTTCAGTTCAGTGCTTAATTGTGGGTGTTTGCCTCTGCTTCCATCAGTCACTGGATGAAGGCTCCAGGATGGTTATAGACATCAAGTTCATTATCAGGAATGGGCATTCGGGGTGGTCTCTCCACTATTGCTTAGCTTGCCAATTAGTGTCATCCCTTTAGATCACTAGAGGTCACACTGGTGCCTGATCTGTCTTCTAACCTATGATTCCCTCTTCCCCCTATCCTACACCCCCCAGTGAACCTTCCTGTTCCCCCATGACCTACTCTCTCTTCCTCTTCTCCCCCTCTCTATTTCCCAGCTCCCCCTTCCCCCCACCCCTCGCCATGTTCCCCATCTGTTCAAAGGATCTTGCCTCATTTCTCTTCTCTTGGGTACTATGCATATCTTTTAGGTTCTTTCCTGTTTCCCAGACTCTCTGTCATTAGAAGTGCAGACTGGCACTCTCCTGATCCATGTCTAAAATCCATATATGACTGAGTACATACCATGTTTGTCTTTTTGTGACTGGGTTACCTCACTCAGGATGGTTTCTTCCAGTGCCATCCATTTACCTGCAAATTTCAAGATTCCATTATTTTTTTCTGCTGAGTAATACTCATTGTATAAATGTACCACATTTTCTCTATCCACTGTTCAGCTGAGGGGCATCTAGGTTGCTTGCAGGTTCTGGCTATTACAAATAATGCTGCTATGAGCATAGTGGAGCAGATGCCCTTGTTTATGAATTTGCCTCTTTTGGATATATGCCTAAGAGTGGAATTGCTGGGTCTTGTGGTAGATTGATTCCCATTTTCCTGAGGAATCTCCATACTGCTTTCCAAAGTGGCTGTATGAGTTGGCACTCCCACCAGCAGTGGAGGAGTGTTCCCCTTTCTCCACATCCTCTCCAGCATAAATTGTCTTCTGTGTTTTTGATTTTAGCCATTCTGACAGGAGTAAGATGGTATCTCAGAGTTGTTTTGATTTGCATTTCCCTGATGGCTAAGGATGTTGAGCACTTTCTTAAGTGTCTCTTGGCCATTTTAGTCTCCTTTATTGAGAATTCTCTGTTTAGTTCTGTACCCCACCTTTTAATTGGATCCTTTGGTGTTTTGGAAACTTGCTTCATGAGTTCTTTGTATATTTTGGAGATTAGCCCTCTGTCAGATGTCGGGTTAGTGAATATCTTTTCCCATTCTGCCTTTTTGTCTTGTTGACTGTGTCCTTTGCCTTACAGAAGCTTTTTAGTTTCATGAGGTTCCATTTGTTAATTGTCGATCTCAGTGTTTGTGCCACTGGTGTTATGTTCAGGAAGCAGTCTCCTGTACCAACTCATTGAAGAGTATCTCCCACTTTCTCTTCTAAAAGTTTCAGTGTGGCTGGATTTATGTTGAGATCTTTGATCCATTTGGACTTAAGTTTTGTACAAGGCGATAAACATGGATCTATCTGCAGTCTTCTGCATACCAGTACCCAGTTATGCCAGCACCATTTGTTGAAGATGCTTTCTTTTTTCCATTGTATAGTTTTAGCTTCTTTGTCAAAAATCAGGTGTTCATAGGTGTGTGGGTTAAAATCAGGGTTTTCAATTCGGTTCCATTGGTCAACCTGTCTATTTTTGTGCCAATACCAAGCTGTTTTCAGGACTATAGCTCTATAATAGAGCTTGAAGTCAGGTATGGTGATGCCTCCTGAAGTTCCTTTATTGTATAGGGATGTTTTGGCTATCTTGGGCCTTTTGTTTTTCCATATAAAGTTGATTAATGTTCTTTGCAGGTCTGTGAAGAATTGTGCCAGAATTTTGATAGGGATTGCATTGAATCTGTAGACTGCTTTTGGCAAGATTGCCATTTTTATTATGTTGATCCTACCAATCCAAGAGCATGGGAGATCTTTCCATTTTCTGGTATCCTCTTTGATTTCTTTCTTCAAAGACTCAAAGTTCTTGATATACAGGTCTTTCACTTTAACATTATCCCCAGATATTTGATGCTGTTTATGACTATTGTAAAGGGTGAGGTTTCTCTGATCTCTTTCTCAGTCACTTCATCGTCTGTATATAATAGGGCCACTGATTTTTTTTAGTTTTCCTTGTATTCTGCTACTTTGATGAAGGTATTTATCAGCTCTAGGAGTTCCCTTGTGGAGTTTTTTGGGTCACTTATATAAACTATCATATCATCTGCAAATAATGAAAGCTTGACTTCTTTTCCTATTTGTATCCCCTTGATTTCCTTTTGTTGTCTTATTGCTGTAGCTAGAACTTCAAGGACAATATTGAAGAGATATGGAGAGAGTGGACAGCCTTGTCTTGTTCCTGATTTTAGAGGAATTGTGTTGAGTTTCTCTCCATTTAGTTTGATGTTAGCTGTTGGTTTACTGTATATTGCTTTTATTATATTCAGGTATGTTCCTGTTATCCCTGATTTCTCTAGGACATTTATCATGAAGGGGTGCTGGATTTTGTCAAAGGCTTTCTCAGCATCTAGTGAGATGATCATGTGGTTTTTCTTTCGCAGTTTATTTATATGGTGGATTACGTTGATAGATTTTCTAATGTTGAACCATCCTTGCATTCCTGGAATGAAGCCTACTTGATCATGGTGGATGATTTTTCTGATGTGTTCTTGAATCCGGTTTGCTAGTATTTTATTGAGTATTGTTACATCGATGTTCATGAGGGAAATTGGTCTATAGTTCCTTTCTTAGTTGTGTCTTTGTGTGGCTTGGGTATCAAGGTAATTGTAGCCTTGTAAAAAGAGTTTGACAGTGAGCCTCCTGCTTCTATTGTGTGGAATACTTTGAGGAGTATTGGAATTAGCTCTTCTTTGGATTTCTGGTAGAATTCTGCACTGAAGCCATCTGGGCCTGGGCTTTTTTTGTTTGGGAGACTTTTGATGACTGCTTCTATTTCATTAAGGGTTATAGGTCTGTTTAGATTGTTTATCTGCTCTTGATTTAGTTTTGGCAAGTGATATCTATCCAGGAAATTGTCCATTTCCTTTAAATTTTTAAAATTTGAGGAGTACAAATTTTCAAAGTATGCCCTGATGATTCTCTGGATTTCCTCAGAGTCCGTTGTTATGTCCCCTTTTTCATTTCTGATTTTGTTAATTAGCATGCTCTCTCTCTGTCTTTTGGTTAGTTTGGACAGAGGTTTGTTTATTTTGTTGATTTTCTCAAAGAACTAACTCTTTGTTTCATTGATTCTTCTTAATGTTTTCCTGGTTTCTACTTGATTGATTTCAGCCCTCAATTTGATTATTTCCTGGCGTCTGCTCCTCCTGGGTGAATTTGCTTCTTTTTGTTCTAGAACGTTCAGCTGTGCTATTAATTCTCTAGTATGACAGTTCTCTAGTTTCTTCATGTGGGCACTTAGAGCTATGAACTTTCCTCTCAGCACTGCTTTCAATGTGTCCCATAAGTTTGCATATGTTGTGTCTTCATTCTCATTGAATTCCAGGAAGTCTTTAATTTCTTTTTTTATTTCTTCCTTTACCCAGGGATGATGCAATTGTGCATTGTTCAATTTCCATGAGTTTGTAGGGTGTCTGCGATTTGTGTTATTGTTGAATTCTAATGTTAATGCATCATGGTCTGATAAGATACAGGGGGTTATTCCAATTTTTTTGTATCTGTAGAGATTTGCTATGTTTCCTATTATGTGGTCAATTTTAGAGAAGCTTCCATGTAGTGCCAAGAAGTAGTGTTTGGGTGGAATGTTCTATAGATGTCTGTTAAACCCAATTGGTCATAACTTCTACTATTAGTTCTTTTGTTTCTTTGTTAAGCTTCTGTCTGGAGGTCCTGTCTAGCGGTGAAAGTGGAGTGTTGAAATCTACTATTAGTGTGTGAGATTTTATGTGTAATTTGAGCTTGAGTAATGTTTCTTTCA